TTGCTGCATTTTAGCCGATTTCCTTCCCCATTATTGGTAGAAAATTCGTTGATAAGTTTCATCGAATTCAAGCAACACAGTAGACACGTCATTCAATGAATGCGCCTACCACCGTCACTTGTCAAAACTTCATGAAGGCTGTTCTTCGGGCTCGGAGATGCGGAAACCTGGTTTAATGAGAAGAAAAGAGGAGCCGAGGCGTCCGCTGGGTGCTCAACAATACAAGAAGTTGTGAAGCTGTGCACATAATAGCACTGCTTGACCACTTTTTTTACTAGAAAAAGGTTGAAGAATGGTGTGGAAAAGTTGGTCTATTATTCGCCTGTCAATCAGGTGAAAGACGTTAGTCCTCCCTCTCCAACGTGTCCATGCTAAAGTGACACTTGGAAATTACCACTTTAACAGGTGTCATCTAGCAGTGTCCAGTGCTTAGGTCCATTACTCCCAGAACACGGGTCTGCGATCGGTCCGCGTTGTGGTAGTCAATGCGTGAAGCATCGAAGGGGCATCGCGGAAAATCGCGAGCGAATGGAACTAGGAACAGTTCGAATTGGTGGATGTGGCGTGCTTGTCTTAAGAAACAATGGGGGACGGAAATAGTGAAAATCTGGTTGTTTTCGCACATTCAGCTAATTATCACCCGTCTAAAAGTCATACATACCCGGTGATTCATAGTGGTGCATTTGTTTAGTGCGATTTGGGTGAAGGTTTCATGACATCGTCTTGGGAGGAGGGACGAATGCGAGAACACGTCACACTTCCTATCATGTCGATATGGATCCGCAAACAGTCCTCATCCATCCTGTACATTGCGTTACCGACAGCTACTCCAAATGGAGCCCAGCACTGGTTGACCCACAAGAGCAATATTGCACGAAGTTCGTCCTGATGTAATACTACCTAGTAAGACACTGACTTGGGGAAAAACGCAATGGAATGCTTTCTTGTTCACCAAATTGAATGAGTATTTGGTAAAACGTTCACTTAATTTGTTTACAATCACATGAATCAATGAAAGTGAGGAAATGCGACGTTTCTCTAGCCATTTGAGGTGTTTGAGGGTGGGCAGGCGAGGGATTTTGATTGGAGAAAGAGCTTAAGAAGGCGAGTGAGCGTAGACATGGCCGTAGAAAGTCGTCTAGACGTGCATTGTGCATGGACAAGAGGGATTTGGGGAAGGGAGAATGTTAGAGGCCTAGGTTATTGGCTGTGCAACAGATAAGCTAGTGTGAGTATGACCCAAGTGAGTGGTAGTACACCTAGCGTGTTTAGCAGCTATCTCGTATCGTCTCTTTTGACTTATTTGAAAAGGGTTTTACTTTTGCTGCTTGTCTGAACATTCTTGTATCATTTCAGACTCCCACCTGGTGGTCGAATGGCAGGGCAGATGCCATCAACAATCAGTCAAGATCTGCTTTCCGCCTCGGTAGGAGGTGCGACCAACGGAGATGACATTTTGAACTCTACCTCCTCCACTACCAACGGTGGTGGTGGTGTTAGCGGACATCCTGAGTCCCTTTGCAAATCACCATCTGTTGTAGCAATGGCCTCGGCCAGCTCTCCCTCCGCTCTAGTTACTACACCCCTAATGAACTTCTACGATGCTTCTGCGACCAGCGGTGGTGGCAACACCTATATTTCTCACCCACATATCGGCAATGCTTCAGCTCGTGCAGGGGGCAAGTCAACCAGTGGAGAAAACGGTGGGAGTTCGAACCACATATCTCGCCCCTTCTACCGCTGCTCTTGGCAGTACTGGGTCATCCTCATCTGTGCCCTTGCCTTCCTCCTCGCTGTTAGCTTTGCCGTCTTCTTCTCTGGTTAGTCTCTCAAACTGAAGGAATAAACTTAGCTGCTGCTGTATCGTCGAAATTAACTGTGGACGTGATTTTAAATAGATGAGTCTCAAAGGCAGTTTATACAAAAATCTTACGGCTACGTGTTTCCAGAATCGTGCTCAGCAATTCTCATCATTTATCCGTGCTGGCTATCACAGCTGCGCTAAATTGAACTAAATTTAGCTGAGACAGGAACGAGTTCCCTGTGATCATTCTTGATCACCCTGAAAAGACTTCTAAATTCAGCAGCATTCGTAGATCTACATGTCACGTCCTGACATGACAAGGATTTATTTGTTGCCTGCTGCCTAATGTTAGGCGGTGTCCTTCGATCAGTACAATTCATGTCCCAATCGCCTTTCGTGGAAGGATCAATATGAAAGCTAATATCTTTTACCGAAGTACATGATGCACGGTATCCTCTGTATTTCCTGTCCTAATTCCATGGTATTTCACAATTTCCCTACCATCTAATTGGATTAATATGAAAATCTACCAACACACGGAAGTATTGCGTTTTCAGGCCCCATATTTTTTTGATAGCCTTCTTGCCGCGAATCTCCACAGATTCATTCGTCCACGGTAGGTGCCTTTCTGTAGTAATCAACCAGCTTGGTTAGACGTGTGCCTTTGGCTTAACAGCGAAAGCGATTGTGTTCCTCACAGGGAGTAAAAGACACCCAACATGTCCTATCGCGCTGCTACCGGTGCAAGGCCATCGTCCCTGAAGACACTGTAAGGAAATTAGCTTTGCTATAAGGGCATTCAATAGACGTGAACTGTCCGAGGAGTCTCAGTGCTATTACTGATTTGCACCCTTATTTCGCACTTCCTACCGCTTTGCCATCTAATATTTTCTGATTATTTCTTCATCTCACATACATAATGCTTTCTCTCTGTAAAGAAATATCACTCCTAAATGCCTTTGGTGTAAAACAGACTTATTTTTGATAAAAGGCGCTACCACCACGACCTTGAAATGGTCCAATAAGGAATACAAGGTAGCCTCGCCTTTAATAGGTCAATGGCAATAAGACCTTGAGAGTCCATGTTTTGCTGACTTTCGAGGTAGTTAAGACCATTGTGCTGCCCATTTCCTGTTGTGTGCAACTTAGGGAAGTTGAAGACTGTGTTCTACTGGGTAACCAAGACGCCCACCGGTTAGCGGGTTGATTCACTCCCATATAGCATCCGGCGTCTTAAAGGCGTACGCGTTCCAGTCCAACATGCATCCCTAAGTATTTCTACGGTGGGAATACATTCCATTCTCTCTCATTCACTTGTCCCGTAACCAAATTGCGTATGGTGTAGAAGAATGCAATTTTCTTCCGGGACAAAAGTAGGGTCGTGAGATCAGCTTTATAATTTCTTTTTCTGTTGCTAACGTACTAGGATTTTTTTTTTCCTTTTTGTAGAAAACGCAAAGTGGTTGGAGAACCGACTTCACGAGAAGTATGCTCAGGACCCGGCAATATTCGGTGAGTCGCGGTTTTTAAAGGAGAGAAATTTGTCTTGGATTCAGTTAACTTCGCTCGCTTTTATGCTTTCGTGCTGCCACATATTAGTCCTCATTTTGGTCTATTTACGTGGCAATAGGTCTAAAGCGATTTTAGACATTTGCTTACATGCCTTATCCTTATCAGGCACCACTTTTCCCCTTAAAATGTGTAGAATGGGTGGAATAAAATCCAGAGGCACGAAAACATGCACACTCAAACTAGTGCATGCAGACGGAGTTTTGCATGTCACGTAAATAACACTTTGTTTACAAAATCTAGAAGCCTTGTAATTGACGCATGATTCCTGTCTGTGGTGCACTTTTTCTAAGGTCTAGGTCATGATTTCAATTTTAGATTTTTTCTCTCATATTCTAGTGGTCTAATTACTCTTAAAGGCATTATCCGGCCTACGAGTCAGACTATGCAAAAAGCCTGACAGTTTAGCAGCAAATGTAGCACCAGTAGGGCTCCTTTCCACCGTCGTGAAAGCCAGTTTTGTTGATATTCTTCAACTTATTTTGCCGTTATCCTCCACGGCTGCAATGGTTACTATTCTGTGTCGGGAATCGCAATCATACGGAAGTTTAGCTATAGTCCAGGGCTGATGACGCAATTACTTACCAAAAATTGATGCAGTTTCATAAATCTGCTATTCTCTGCTGGTTTAATCATCCAAAGTGGGTGGCTTTTACCTCCATTAAACAAACGATTCATTTGAATGCAAACGGAGGTATAAAGAGTGGGGCATTCCTCATCGTGCTGTTGCTGGTGTAACGCCCCAGTTAACCCCGAAGACATACAGGACATGCGAGTCTAAAATTGGTTTTATGACTCTCCGGGTACAAGCTGGGACTCTTATTTCCAATATACTTCGCATCGTTCGCTTAGCCTCCTAATTACACACACAGCCCTTATTAACACAATAAAATACCTAATTAGTTAGTAGTAATGAGGTCGTGCATGCTCCTCACTCCCACAAGGCATTTCAACGTTCTTACGTTTTCACGTCTTTATTTCCTCGGCTTCCGCCTAGGCCTCTTCGATCCACACAATCCACCACAGAAAATTGAGTCCAACACACAGGCGAAGATACATCTGGAGTCCATGGGTCTGTGGGCTGGCCATTGGCACATTCAGAGTGACCTTTGCACCATCTACAACATCACGCTGACTTCTGAACTCTCCTCCATTGGCGTTTTTTTGCGCTACAGCACCATGCCCACCATCGTGCATTACAGTCACTTTGATCGTATTCTCGGTCGCCAATTGAAGGCAGACACTGTAGTGAAAAAAGATGCCACAGATCTCCCCAAAGAGGCCTTTCCTTCTATCCCTTCTGCCATTCACGTAAAACCGGTAAGAAAGGTCGCTCATCTAGAAATGTGGATAAATATCAAATTATCATTTCCAGTTTCTGTGTATTGTATTTAACGAAACTGAACCAAGATTAACTCCCAGAAGTCTTGCTCTTTTGAGTCTGTAAACTGTTTAATTTGGTGGAAGGGCCTATCTTTTGCATGCTTTGTTCCAGATCTTCGGGATGGGGTCAGGATTAGTTGCTTTCACCTAAGCATCTTCAGCCATTGCTGAAGTTAGTTTATTCAACATATTCTTACAGGAATCGGCAATTCTAATACCACTTTGACACTAAATTAAAATTATGGGTGGTCTCCATTTTGGTAGGAGGCGTTTTGTGCCGGCTACATTAGTAGCACTCTATTCAGATTTAACTTGCCTTAATCTAAAGAATGTCCAATCGCGTCAGCAATTTTAGGCTTTGTTCACTTAAGATGTTTTTCTTTTTTTCTCTCCATTCGCCAAATTTTTGGGTGGTCAGATGTTCGCTGCTTGATATTGCATTTATCATCGGAGAGAGTGGTAGGGAAGCGAGCACACTAGCACACACTTTGACAGTGACTAACCATCTTTATTTTTTTATAAAAAATTAGAACGCCCCACGTACAACCGGCCGAGTGAGGTGCCTTAAAAAGGGCCACTGGTTCATCTCCATTGTCAATGATCAGCCCAGAACCGAGGATATTGTCCTCTCGATGGCCGAAATTGGTAGATCCTTTCTTTTTCAAAAGATATTGATTTCAAAGCATATGTTTTTCGTTCAGAGCAAACTGGGATCTTTGAGTTCACACAAGGCAATAACATTTAAATGAATGTGAGCCGCAATCCCTTTGTCGCAAGATCTCCTAAAGAGTAGCCTTGGCACAGAAAGGCTTTAATGTCCAAGGGCAGCCTATTTCACTCCATCACTTCCTTGCTGTTCAGAGGCGGGAAGCTATCTCGGTACCAAACTTGAGCTAACCCTTCTGAATTGCGGTTATTCATGAATAAAGAGGTCGTCATTTATGCAATTTCACCACAGATGGCACTACGCCATTCAGAGTTCCGGGATTAAGTGTTTCACGTGCTGAATTGTTAACCTGAATTGCATCCGTAGCAGTAAATCTTCGCCGACAGGCTTTTACGCCATTCTAATACCTTGCTGATGTGTGGCCGTGAATCTTGTCACCGTATCGTACTTTGCTTGAAGTATCTGCAGGTTTCACGCCTTTCTTTAGGGGAGACCTCTTGGAACCACACGCTATTCTATGCACGATCTACCAGTGTTGCCTACCGTCTTGATTAATAGTATCTAGAATGGTTCACGCAAGATCTGTGAGCCGTTTATTAGAAAGCTTGGTAATGGGGCACATTTAGCATCTACCACCGCGCATGGTGCCGTCACGGTAACCTCCCCTTCTTTAGCAATGAAACCAAAAGTCCTGCTTTGAGTCGAAGGGATATCTTACAATTGTTGTTGGTATTGTTAAGTGGGAAATTAAGGATTTTTGAAGCAATTCGAACAGTTTTTTTTTCACTTTACTCGACTGACGGGAAATAATTGCTCTGCTCGCCATCGTTACAACCAATCGCTGCATAGCACGTGGTCATCGTTACCTGCTTTGGGCTTATGACTGTATTGTCGCGTAACATAGCAAATTGGGGATTTATTGTTACGGCTAGGCTGAATGAGACAGGCTCCGTCTTTGAATGGAAAGTAGATGATGGCTAATGCCTTTTTTCTCAAGTTTAAGAGCATTCGAGTCTACGGATGGCTGTATTACAAATGTCTGAAAGGGCTGGGAGACTAGCACCAAGGGTCGTATAAATGGTACTTCACATTGGTCGCAGGTTACAAATGGTCTGGGTAGTCAATCGAGTGCCGTCTTGTTACAAATGCTTTTCTTGACCATCGCAGCCGCGGTGGGGAGGAACGAATATCAGTTAATCATATTCCATCACAGTTGAAAGGCGTCCAAGTTCCATATCATTTTTTCAATGGCAAATGGTTCTAATTCTATTTCCCAGATCCTCGTAACATAGGGTGGCGCTAATTTTCTTTTCAAGCAACCTTTTTAGGCACTTGTGTAACTCTTTGGGTGCTGATTCAAAGATTAATTTAGAATAGACTTTCGTATAAAACCAAATTTACATGAAGCGTGGCCCACATGAAACCAGGTCACCATTTGGAACACAGCAGTACCTGTTTTTCTCACACTGAAGATGAGAGTGTGCTAATATGCAAAAAGGAGTGCGCATGCATTCCATTGCCTTCTTCCCTCCGAAGTCATCAACAGTGTTGCCAATTCACTTTTTACCACATTTCCGCTAATCTCTGCATCGCCAATCGCACTAGGCATATCACCTATCTCCAAGGTTTTCTGGATAAGATGAAGGCAGAGGTGAAAAGTAGGTCAGGTCTGAGGGTGTGGAGAGTTTGTGGACATGAGTGCTCGTAAATTTCACCAAGATGATGGTAGTACCTGAGGGGTTTGAGTCACACAGTACAGCGCGCATTTGAATAAATGCAGATTTACTACTTTTATCTTTTCACACACCCACATGCGCACAATGCATTCCATTCGCTTCTGTCTTACCCCAGAGTAGTCATTAATTTAGCCCCAGTAGAGCAGCAACTGTTGGGGAGGCAGATAGAGGTAGCCTCGTACTCGTGCACGCACACGTCTTGCTTTACTGTCCCAAAGTTGCCGACGTAGCCGATATAAGAGAAACGGGGTTATTTTGTCTCCCTCTGCCCCGGCCTCCCTCCTTTATTCCCTCCGAGTTCTACACCTATGGAAGCGACAGGGTCCTTTGCCGCGGCGGCCGCTGCCTTATCGATTATGCAGGGGGGCAAGATCCTCTCATTTTTTGTTGACTGGATTCCAGCGTAGTCACCACACCGTGGAAGAAAATTGGACCATCCCATTAATTGCCATTAACACATTCACTACCAAGGTTTCAAAGCAAAGTAGACCACCACAGCATATTTTTTTTACTTATAGTAGGACATCAATTATCGCTAGTTTCGTGGAAAGTGTCGCAGACATTTTGAACGAATGGAATAAGCGTTTTTTCGAACTGACGAAGAAGAATTTCTTCTTAATTTAGAAACAAAGGAAATAAAACATTTTTCAAGGTGATGAACTTGTTTAAGCATAGTCTTTTACTTTTTAACCGAGGAAGAGTTGTATGCTTTAGGCTTGATTGCTTGAAATGGCGAGTAGCGGATCTTCATAGTCAGTGAAGGACTTGACGCTTGGAAAACCTGATATATCTGGTTCATAAACCATGCTTTCAATACTCAAAACACCGATTTCTAGTTATGCATTAAAATAATCTTTTCTGTATAAAAAGGTGGGGATTTCAACACTAAACTTCACATTCCTGGCCAATTTTCCCCTGCATTCACACTATGAAACTGAGCAGAAATCTAGACAAAGAATATTGGACGTCCTTTTTTTGTTTTTTTTTTTTCGAGCACAGCAAGTTTACTTGTGACATGACTCAGTGCAACCGCAGTTGTCACAATCGGATCGGGAGGGCGGGTCACACTAAAATGGAGCAAAAAATCGGGGTATCGCATGTATGAGATTGAGAGCAAATGGGTTAACCGGGCAAAGGTGCATTTTTTCAAGCCATTTTAACATTTTATTTTGTATGAGAGCCCCATAAAAGCCGTAAGTTGTATAGAAAAAACTCTAGTCGAGCTTGGTAGGTTTATTTCTGTTCGCGCAACTTATGGCATAGTCATTTTGTCAGTGTTTGAAGTGGAAGACCAAATATGCAGGGTTGGAAGTGAATCATCGTGTTGCTAGTTTATTCCATTCTCTTTACCTACGGATGGGGTTTTTGGAAGCAGCAAAATGAAATGCCAAAAGCTAAGCCCTTGATGGAGTCCATTTTCACCTTTGCTTTTGTCTTAGTGATGCCACGAGGATGTCCTAACGATTGCAGCAACCGAGGCATTTGCTCTCAGGGTGTTTGTGACTGTCTCAATGGACTCACTGGAAAGGACTGCTCTTCTGGTGAGTTTTTTGAGTATTTTCGGCCATTATGATTGGAAACAACCCCCACTAAAATCATATAGTGATTTTTCGTACCCCATGGAATTCGATAGATGTCATCTGTCATGTCGGGTAAGCTGTTCGATCTTCAGCTGTTTTTCAAAGAAATCTTTTTCCCAAAAGCAAGACTCATTCGATAAAAAGTGGCTCCCGAGAGATGTGCTCTGATTTTTTCTCCCCTTTCCATCTAGTTGGTATTTTATCATTGCTAAATCCTCTATCTTGCCTATTCTATTGTTCTGTCCGCTCATAGTTATCATGGTTTTTTGTAATCACTGTTAAAACTCAATGAACCATTTTGATTCCGCCTAATTACCAACCAGGATGAAAATTTTGCCAACAGTCGATGTGGCTTTAATAGCTCTTCTATTGTGAATCCCCATTAATTCTGCCTCTATAGTAGTGTCTTCCTTCTATAGTAGACAATTAATCTATTTAGTTGCTGACCTTCTTCAAGGTACCTGTGAAAGTGAGGAAAAGGTGTAGGGAACTGGGAAAGTGTTGATAAATGATTTGCAGACTCTGGGGTCGATTTCACGCATACCGAGGTTTTGTCGGTCGTTTCCCCTAGTCCTGGTACCAGCGCTAGCCCGATGACTAGATCTGGTGCATAATGTCAATTCACGCTTAGCTAGTGTAGGCAGAAGCAATGTGCGTGCAGGGAGGAGGGAGAGGTAGATTGCGGCAGTTGATAAACCGCCTCTTGCGGTCAGATATCGTCGATTTGGCGTTTCCCCCTCTCCTCCTCCCCACTATCCCACTTCGGACTTCCATCACCCTACGATTTTTGGCGTTCGGGCAGCCGCGTCTGTATTATGTGTGTATGCATTTTAAGGGGGGCAAAAAAGCCGTAAAAAATTGGATTTTGTACAAAAAGTGAGACGGTGGTCCGTGTTTCTCGTTACTTTTCTTTCCTGCTTTGCACCGGAAGTACAGGGAAATACTGGCATTATTTTGGGCACAAATTAATGTCAGTGCAGTATAAAATATGCAGTCAAGGTTTGTTTTGAGTGTTGCTCGCAGTTTTTCAGGCTGACTCTTCTGTATGACGAGTATTGCAGGAAAAACCAAACACCGTGAAGGCACTTGAAGACCTGCGTGTACCTCATTTGTCATAGCCTCTAGCAGATTTCAGTAGATGGTTTTCAGAAGGGATATCGCTTAGCTAGTTAGCAAGTTTCACTTACCGACTAGTTTCCGGAGGAACATCTATTTAGAATGCAACCCTTCCATCTTTGCGAGGACTCTTTTTTTAATCTCATTGCGGATTCCCCTCCACCTTTGTTATAGAATTAGTTTATTCGCTATTTCGACTCTTCTGTTGTGGGCCTTTGTAAACTCAGCCCCTCATACCAGATGGATATCGGTTGAAGGGCTCATTTTCTTCACAAGGGATAAAAGGATTTGGACATCTATTATGCTATCACGGGTGTCCATATGCAATCATCAGGACGTCGTAACGACGTGACCAGAACCAGATGCTGTCTAGTGATAGCTAGAAGATCATTTCAGCCATCTATGGTTTATTTCTGAACAATTTCAGTGGAGGACGTGCCAATCTGTAGTGGACACGGGGAGTATCGTCAGGGCAAATGCCACTGTTTCCCCGAATGGAAGGGTCCGGAATGCGAGACTTTGTGGTCAGAATGCCCATATCCCACCTGTTCAGGACACGGGCGCTGTGTCACCGGGGAATGTCTCTGCTTTGACGGTTTCGGAGGTGACGCTTGTCAATTTCGTAAGTTCTTACTGACTGAAAGAATACTTAAAGAACTTCCCTGCTGTCAAAATTCAATTCCTTATGAATTAATGACCGTATGCTCTTCACCGCTAAATTGGCAAAGGTCACATATATCAAAGGTATTTGTCAGGCTGTAATTAATCATGGCTTAATTCCATTGGCTAGATCAGTCTCTTTCTCCCAAATGACTGATTTTTACCCACGCCGATTTTTGATGCGGGCAGGAAGCCGATTTTTTGTATTAGTCTATAAAGTATATGGGGTGATGTTTTTTTTTGTTGGTTTTTCGCCAAATACCGTGCCATTTTCGAGGGAGATTTAAACCACTTCTGTGTGACATTTTGAGTTCGTCGTTATTGCCTACCATCTATGTGGTGTGAAACTACTGAAGCATTGTAAATGAATTGATTTCCGACCAACATAGGCTCGTTCTAGTTGAATATATTAAGTATGGATATATGTGTCACCTTGAAAACTAATCAAATAAAGCAGAATTAACTACGAAGTCGGTAAGATAGTACAGTAAGTCTTCGCTCCAGTGGGATAGCTCACTGATAAAATCTGTGGGCAAATCTACTTTTTTACAGCTTACTTAATGGTAGGCAGCATTCCCTACAACCAAGAAACATCGCAGAAACAGTCACCATCCACCTTGGTTAGCAGTTGGTGTAGGCAGTTCTCTTCTAGATAGTTTAGACTCTTTTCGTTCTGATCTTGCTCTATTACTGGCTTAAGTTTGAATTGATCTCTCAGTTGCATATTTACATAGATCCAATCACCGGCGGCAGATCCCCACTCTATAACCAGCCCATCTGTTGCGATATCAAATTTTTTGGGGCTTCAGTGACAGCTGCCATACTTGGAAAACCAATATATATGTGTGCACTGTAGTACTTCTGAAGGCGTTACAACGTATACGGGTATGGAATTGACTTTATTAAAAGCCTACAGGAGGATCTGAGGAGTGAAATTTTCAATCTTGACCTTGTCCCCAGCTCAGATCTTCAAAGATCGAAAGTGAAAATCGCTTTTTGAAAGGGATATCCCACAAACAATCCTATCGTATCAAACCGCTGGACGCTACAAAACGTATTGTGACTGACTTATCATGAAAACTCTTTGGAAGATAGTTGAGAAGCAATTGCTATGGGAAGTATTCTGCTACTTATTCATAAAAAATAATTAGAGTTTCCTCAATCATATAGTGTGCTCATGTCAAGCGGAGACTTTTTGTTTTGCGCAAGGCATGGGAAGAACAATTTTACGATAGGTTGTGCCGATCAGACGTTCAACGCGCTAAATGCTCAAGGCTAGTACGGATTTGAAATAATTTTGCTAAACTTACGTACCCTAGGAATCTGCCCCCCTCACAACTGTAGTGGCAACGGCATCTGCGTGGATGGTGTTTGCCGCTGTTTTTCTAGTTGGGGTGGAAATGCCTGTGACTATCGTGAAATCTCCGATCCCAGCATTGGAAAAATCGGTTTTTCCAGCCAATCACAACAGAAGGACTCTAGTGGTAACTCCCCTACCCCTGAACCAGCCTGCTCCTTCAACGGGTATCGCGAACCGACCACTGGGCATTGCCACTGTTTCCCGGGCTTTGAAGGCACCGCCTGCGAGAAAGGTAATAGCATCTGACCTCGTCGTCCTTTGTCTTCAGAAATGCACATAATCTTACCCTCTCCCATACCTCTCTCCTTTCCTTCCATCTCTTTTCCTTGCTAGCACATTATCTCCCATTACATTTTAGAGACAGAGACGCTGAAAGGCGTTTTTATTGGTTTGACGATGCTAAAACGATGTACCACCACGTGCGTTAGCTCGCTAGAATACACACCGACGCACGCGTGCTCGCTCGTGAATAATTTTGCGTGCAAATAAATTTGTGATTTTTACAATGTGGCAGTTTTTATTTTCACTGTTTTCCTCAATTCTGGAAGGTTGGATGCATATAACATTGTCGAATGCATTTTGCTTCCAAAATTAATAGGAAACGTAAGTTATGGAAGCTGTTGCTGTTCATTCACTTCATTAGCCAATCACAGTCTAGTTTTTATGTCAGATAAATTATCTACTATACTTGTATTCATTCTCACCACTAGTTATTTGAATTCGTTACAAAACCCCACTATCTGGATGGTGACAATACTGACAGGTGGGTGATTCATGAGGTGTTACCAGTATCCGTCGCGATACAACACTACTTTATTTAGAAGTGTGCCATTTGCCAATCGTGGGACCCATTCCCAGTCCTTTTAAGAACCTTTTCATCTTTCAAGCCCCTGCTTGCAAGTCAGATGGCATTGCTATCAGTGCTCCTTCATTTCAGCTCCCAAAACAAACCACATCACTTCATATTACGGACATCACGATTCGGTGACCTCTTCAGTTGTCGCTCTCTTGTATTTGCAAATCATTGTCAGTATTCTTCCTGTAGACCGCTCTGTATGCATTACGTCAGTGGGAGCATTTCTAGACAGACATGTTAATTCACCCATGGTAGACCATTGCAAGGGAGAGGGGGAGAGGAAAGGAGAGAAGGGAAAAGGACTATCTCTCCACACTGAGTTTACATTGCGATGGTGATGGTTCCTTACTTTTGACACACTATCTGCTGTTTCCCTTCCACTTTAATGGTGTTTATGTTTACATTTTGTAGCTACGTTGATCCCTCTGAGCATTTCCTTCCAATTTCGGACCTATTTTTCGCAGACTAAGGTGGGCATATCTTTGATATTTCCCCACCCAAATGAGTCAGTATCTCTGGCAAGATTAAGGTACAACTGCGATTGCGGTGGCTGCAACCCATTCTCTGGACGTTGAGTCACGAGGCTACGCTGTGGGCTAATGGAATTTAGCGCGTTTCCTTTAGCCTTTATTCTGAATTCTAACTGACTAGCATGCTACTAACTTGTTTGATCTCAATTTCCGAAAGTCATCCTATTCTGAGCACATAGCCGTAGAGACACTAGATCTTACAGTGAGTAGATCCCCCAGAATCCTATGGTTCTCCCTCAAATGCTTCATAGCCGCCTTCACTGAGCAGACATTGCCTCGTTAGGTTAGGCAGTCTTCGTTGACTGCTAAAGGCGTGCTTTTCATCGTGTTGGTGTTTGCTGACTGTGACATCATGCGAATACGACCCCATCAGCCCAACAACCTAAAGGGTAAAACTCGAGTGCCACGTTTGTGGTCTAGTCTATGGCATTCTCCATTGGGAACGGTGAGGCATCTGTCTCAGGTTGGCCTCGAAAGTGAAACTTAGCACCGTTGTGGAATCTTGAGTTAATGAAAAACTGCTGTCTGGTAGGTTGGAACTGCACATATACATGTGCGTGATGCGAAATTGAAGACAGAGTATGCAAATTGGCGTTGGGATTTGTGTTATGCACATCTAACATCACGTGTTTGCGCGTGAATCAGTTCCGTTTCCTCGATCAAAGGGAAGAGTGGCGGCAGGAATAAGAGGAGGAGGGCAGGAAATTGACATGAGTCATCCAATCAAATGTCAACATGCACATGCCCAAATGCAAAGAGACCAACAATATCTCCGACTTTTAAATCGTTCACTCCGACAAACAAAGTCACCCAATGCCATTAGGTACATGTGAAAAGTGTAAATAATCCCTTAGGGCTCCTATTTAAGTGCTCTAAATGCTGTTTTCTTTTGATATCCAGACGTGACCTGTGCTAGCCGGTGCGTTAATGGAGTATGTACGGGAGATCGGCGGCAGCTCCTATCTGGAGGACCGGCCCTGCCCGGTTTGTTACCAGCGGTGGCGACACTTCACGATCCGGCCGTCTGCTTCTGTAATGACGGATGGCGAGGTATCAATTGTGATGTGCCTACGTGCAATGCGAAGTGTCTTCTTAACGGTCAGTGTGTCAATGACACCTGTGTGTGCAATCGTGGCTGGACTGGAGCGAATTGCAATCTCAGTGAGTCGAATTTCTGTTAGTTGAATTGGACTATCAGCTGCTTCCATAGGCAGCATCTTAGCCACCTTAGAAGATGTTTTAAAGCAACTTATTATGGTAAAGTTTTGCTATGCGCCTACCACAAAGCCACTTCGGCCTCGTTTCTATGTGGAGGTTCGTTCTCTCCCGTTTTGACCATCACAACAATTTTCATGTGCATTTAAATTGCACGATAGCCTTTCATCAAGACGAAATAACTTTCAAATTCGACAGTCGTAATGCATCCTGTAGTCTTTTTGTGGAGCTACATTCAGTCCCCGTTCTACCTTAACACTTCGTTGCGATTTTACTGTTGTGTGGACACCTATTGTTTTTAGTTTTTTTACTGAAAAACTAAATTGGGTTAATCCAAGTCCCACTCCTTTGCTAGTTGTAGTTTCGTGTTTAACTTTGGGGGCAGGCTTCAAATATCTCCTCTGTTGTAATCGGTTAATGCATTTCGACGCAAACCATCGGTGGAATCTTCATTTGCCTTCTCTCCCAGGCATATACTCCCATCGGGCTGTCCACCAATGTAGCACACAAGATTCCTCAGGAGGCATTGTAGGACACAGATCTGGTAATGGCTTTATTGTAAACACACAAATTGGACCACAATCTGGTGGTATTGACGGCATGAAAAGAGTCGCAGTATCGCCATTGGTTCTGGTTGCTGAAATTCGTTATCTTTAAGTCACGAGAGTTTGTTAACTCGTTAGTCCTCCAAACTAATCAAATGCTAAGTAATTCAATGTTAGTTCATTAATTAATGCGAAGAATTTCTGTGGTCTTTAGAGCGCTTTTATAAGTGATCGTTTTGAAATAGTTGGGCTATTTTGAATTGTACGTTTACCCACTAGAGCGCTTATTGTTTATCCTAATGGATGACCTATTCTATATTTTACAGTAATTGCTACTGTCTTCTACACCCGTTTATTTGCCTTTTTTACCCTATTAAGGAAGTTTTTCCGCTTCATCCGCTCAAAGTTAATAGCCCTGACTTACTTTGGAGCAGGTAGGTTGGGAAAGATTGTCTAAGAACAATATTTAAGTGGCTCATTAAAATAGGTGTAAAATGGTTTTTCGAACACAATGGTGCATCAAGTATCCTATTTAGTGAGTTGCTTTGTTTGAATGTTTCAATTTCGAGGTCACAAAGGTTGGGTGCAAAAGTTGCGTTTTTTGTATTTCCTTTAAAATGGGCTTAGACGAGAGTAGGAGGAAAGGGCGTAAATTAAGCGTGTTATATGTGTGCTTGTGTCAAGTAGGAAAGTCGTCCTTTTAGCACTGCAAAGGATTCCTATTTTGCGGTTCGTATAGCTACGAACGGCATTAAAGGGGAGAGGAACACCATCGCGTCATACGGGTACTAAAAGTAAGAAATAAACTTTCTCAGCATAGTGTACTCGGTGTAAAATGCAATATTTGCACCCTCTCTCCCTTCCTCTCCCCTCTTCTTATTTCTCATATTGAACCGACTGTAGGTGGGAATGATCCCACCGACGTGGATACAGAGCATTATGGGCATCTAGTGGTCTACGGAAGAAGAATTCTGATACTAATATGCGAATACAAGAGAATGACTATTGATCGCTGTAATCTGGAGTGGTGTTGCTTGTTTTTGAAGCTGAAATGAGGGAACATTGGTACCAGTGTCATCTGACGCGAGCAGTTAACCAACTTTGAAGTTTCTTTTGTTGACAGTCATTGTCATCTCATACAAGGAGGCGCTTGAAGGGTGAAAATGTTCTCAAAAGAAGGGGGAATGTGTCGCATGGTTGGCAAATGGATCCTCTTACAAATAGAATGAAGTTGCGCTGCATGCTTAGCTATTGCAACAAGCGCCGAAAATACCTCATTAATCATCTACCTGTCAGGATTCCAGTAGGGCTTGGATATTGTAGCAAACACAATGATGAATAGACTGTACAATTTCCAGGTGAAATAGCTCACTTGTTATCATACATAACATCTTGCGAAAACACCTGGCTAAATATCGGGTAATTTGTTCTTTGGATGAAAAATATTAGACGAACAAAAAAGTTCTTGCGTTTTTTTCGAAGACAATCCATCACCTTGTACCTCATACCACCAAGCCTACCCATGAGAAAACTTTATACCACACTTTAATCCGGGCGATAGGAATGGGAAGAGGGGAGTGCTACCTCGTTCTCATCCTCTATTTTCCTCTCGAACGCTTCCTGAAGCTCCAAATAGTGACTATCGCCTTTCTCTGGTGCCAGGTTTGAAAATCACACGTTGACATGCGAAATAGAGTAGATATTTTGAAAATAAGGATTAATCAGAAGCAGAGTTTATTGGGTTTGATTGTTTGCACCCGGAGATAAGACGAGTTTTTTGTTAAAAAAGAATCTCCAAACTTGTTTCGTGTAGAGAAAACGACAGACTGTAATGCTGATTATTCCAACAAATAGAGTATTTGAAGAACCTCTCTCCAGTTTTTATAAACTTTAGTCGGTCCGATTGCGTGACCTTTAATAACTTAAATTTTTAAACTGACTTACTAAATTTTAATATATGCAGAGGCCGGAGAAGAATGGGGGCTTAGTTTAACCATGCTCGAGCACTTTCCCCTATTGACCAAGTTGACACTGACACGCACTCCGACTAGGCAAATGGGAAGGTCATCAGTTCGTTTTTTGTTAGACTTGATCCAATACCACTAGATTTTAGTGTTATTAGTACCCATCTAATATCAGTACGTCTTACAGCTTTATAGCAATGGTGGCAAGTAAACTGTTTACATGCTGTCAACGTCCTAGTCCATGCACCCACTTTGGTAGGATACATCTTGGTGAATGCCAGCACAAAGAAGTGGCAGAATAGTTAAGCCAAACGTGTTGATTGGCCTAGTTTGAACACTGTCTATGCCTCCTCCCACGCAAAAATGTCTTATTTTGGTTGGCAGAACCTAGTTTTTTTTGTTTTTATTAAAGGCAATTACCTTTTCGGTAGATTTTGCGATGAAAGATGTGCACAACAGGAGACTACTTTTGTAGACAAATGCTACCACTACTGACTCACCTGAGTTGTCCATTATCGCATTTTAGCATTCCGTATTCATGTTTGGGTAACGATTCGTCTGAATACTAATTTACCAAGTCATTGCATGGAGTTTACGTTACTACCTAGGGGTATGAAAGTTCAGAATCAACTGCGAAGGTCAATTCACAGGAGACTGAAAAGCCTCGCATAATTTGTTGTATAGTCACCTTCTTGTCTTGAGCATTGTCTCTGACATTTCTACAAATTATTCTTCTTCATCAGTTACTTCAACACCCACGACGAGGTCTCGGAATTCAACGGTTAGTGTAGATGGGCCCACCTGTCCTGTTCTGCCTATGAAATATTATCGTGGACGGCTCATAGTTTAATGATATCCTTCAGCCATCAAATTTTGCATGTAATTCATTTCCCACGAGAAAATTTGTCTATTAAAAGTTTTGCTGCTTTCCGAGTTTTCCGTGGGGTCGTAATAAATCATACCAGAGAGCAGAGGAACCGCGCTGTCAAGCGAAATATGAAGAGCACGCGTAGTTAAATATGCGGTTTAATGAACACCAAAGTACTGCAGTTTTTGCTGACTTAGACTCCCTTTTCCATTTCATTGCAGCTTAGTAAACAAGTCTCTCTGGGGACAGTTTCGACTTTTGCTCCACCACTAGTTATGATGCGGATTCTGAGATCGGGTTAGTTGTAGAAAGTCAGTATAATCGGCCGTTATGGCAGCCACCCCCTTTTTATGGAAGCCTTCCGATTTATATAGGCTTAGGTTTGTGAGAAGTTTCATACTTTTTGTGAGGAATGTTGCGTGCTGGATCTATTTTCAACGTGCAGAATGGCTCCGTAGATAGTAGCACAGGCTGAATGAACAGAATCTTATGTCATCGGCATGGAGGCTACTGAGATGATTAAAACAAATGAGCGGGAGACTTGCCAGTTTTTAATTTGATCAGTTCATTAGGACAGTCCCCATTCTTTTGTTTTGCCAGATGAGTGTCCCCTGGGTTGTAGCGGCCAAGGGAATTGTAATCAAGGTGAAGACGGTCACCATTTCTGCCAATGTTTCGCCAACAGAAAAGGGTCTGCATGTCAGGCTTCTTATGAAATTTCCTGCGATGATAGAAGAGATGACGATCAAGGTTAGTTCTACATCATTGAACAAATCAGCAAACTTCTTTCTACTTCATCGACTAGGTGACACCACTGGCGATACTTTCCATTATATTTCATAGATGGTCTCATTGACTGCTTGGATCCAGACTGTTGTAGCACGGAACATTGTGAGAAGTTGATTCGATTCCAAGGCAACCAGCAACGAGTGGTGGAAGATGCTAGACAAAGCTGTGCTCACAGCAGCGAGATTAGTGCCCTCATTTTGAGCACTAAATTGTCCCCACCTGGCAGCTCATTCTATGACCAATTAGAGTTCCTTCTGCTTCGTGATCTTACCACAGATAAGGTCGATCCACGGTGAGTCCAAAGCTGTTTTTGCCTTTAAGATCATTATTAATGTCACTCCACTAGCTGGCTTTCGAAATATGGCACGTGTCGACTTGTTTACCATCGACTTTCCAGAAGAAATTCGTTGATTACAACCCAGATGTCTTACTGTTTGAATAAGATACCAACACCAGCACTGCTTGACTGACCAATTCATATTCTCAAACGCCGGAAACACTAATTATCTTAGGACAAAGAACATTAATCTGCAGCGCTATTTGGTGTAGTCAGCGGTCATTATAAACTGATAAGCAACGTCACATGTGTGACACTGGCAGTGCTCTTGCTAACAAGTTCTGTTGGCACTTTTTCTACTTTTCTGACTTCTTTTAGTCGTGTCTCCGTTGTCCGCGGGGTTGTTCGCCAGTGGGATAGCACACCTTTCTGGGGTTGTCGAGTTTTTGATCGTCTAAATCCCGTGATCGGATCCGCACTGACGGACAAAAACGGCCGGTAAATTTGCCTCCTTCAGTTGACTTTATTTTCACAGTGAATAATGTGAATTCTCTCTCATTAATTCAGTTTCGAATTAGTCGTGGATGGTGGGTTTCTCGTTCAGCTGGAGTTCATTCGTCATCCAACCAGTAGATTCACTGCGCAATTGGATGTCTATGTCCCTGTCAATCAGATCGTCAACATTGGAGACTTCTACCTCATCGATAGATCACGTTTTATTCTTTCTGCTACGTCATCTTCCACTCCTTTCAAAAAACGTGCCTTTTATGATGGTGCGGTGACAGGTGTTGGTGGAATGCTTCCAGCCTCGCTTATTTTTGGTGATCTCTGGATAGTTGGTCTTCTCCCCTCTATCGACCCTGAATCCGCCGTAGATTTCTGTCCTCCTGACGTCCATGATATCAGTCTTCTTGGCGGACCGAAAATCGAAGCAAAACGAGGTGGTGATGACGACAACGATGATGGCGATGATCTTGTTTGTTTCGGTTCTGATGGTGCTGTTTGTGTTAGTCGTGGGGGTATCCTCTTCCACAGATACGCTCTAAAGGTAAAATTGAGTGTTTTTGATCTTTCATTTGTTCTGTTACAACAAAAATCGGTCTAATGGTATAACTTTCTAGCCCTCAAGACTTCATCTGGTGCATAGCTCGGACAAGACAGCTAAATCGTCTTCTTTTCTGGTGGTGAGAATGCTTGCTAACGATAGAGCACCTCCAGACAGGCTTAATGAGGTGCATCTCTCTGTTGACGTAGCAGGTTTACAACAATCCTGGCGATTTGAACCAGTTCAGGGATTGGAATTTACCTTTGTCTGGAATCGCACGGATGGATACAATAGATCCGTCTACGGCACAGCTCTTGCTAGAGGTGAAGTATATATATTTGGTTGAATCCTTTTTTTGTTTTGCAAGAGCAACTGAAAAACTAATGCAGTTTGTGAGCGCCCGTGTCCGTCACAGTGATGGGACTACTTTGGAGCTCGTTAATGCACTCGCAGCTAAATTTAGACCCACATCGAGCTTGTATTCGTGGCATTCATTCTACCAACGAAAATGGAAAATTCCTCCCTCTTTGGATCATAGTAACTACCTTCACTTCATAATAATCATTCTATCGCTGACCTACAAGCATTCACTTGGCATAGGAAAACTGTGGGAACTTGTTGAGTCCTTAGTTTCTGAACTAATTCAACAGCCGTTTTATTTTATCGGTCCTGATTTTTTAATCCTAAATTCATTTTCAACTCCAACTTATGTTAGGCGACCAGAAAATATCGTAGTTTTTGGTGGGTCCCGCCGTAATTACCCGTAACTTGTGGGAACTTGTAAAATCCAATTGTATGCAGGCTGGGGTGCAAATGTGTCCCGGTTTATCACTACAGGACCGTTTATTGTGTTTTCTACTACTTTTTTTTTTTAGTTTTAAACCTGGTATGATTCAAGCTTGTCTACTTTACGGAGAGGGTGCGGTCGCGGAGCTCACCGCTTAAAAATGATTATAAATAATCTAAGTCCAATTTAAGAAGACCCTCTATTCTTGACTAGAATAGCGAACTGCGCGTCTAGCCTAATTTATCAAGAATAATTTTCAATCATTTTTAGTATAAGTAATGAAGCAACTCATTTACACCTTTATCAACTGGGAGGGCAAAGTCATGCAGCGAACTAAACAAATGAATGACACATGTCGTACATTAACAATCACCAACGCAAAGCGGCGCTATAAAGTACACCGTTTTTAAACTGCTTGTTGACTTTTACAAATCAACACTAAGCGGACAAACAACAAACGAGTTCACTACTCCAATCACTTCCAGGCACCACTTCAACCCCCGGAAGACCACTGACTGCCTGCATAATTGTCTACTATGAATTTTCTGTTGAAGGTCAAAAAACCGCGACCGTTGTGTAAGATAGGGGAAAAAAATCATGTTTTTACAAAAGAATGCAGGATCTCGTACCTTATTTGACGAATCTTGCCCGAAAGAGGACTTCACATCTCACTTTAACATGAGTGTGGCTGAGAATCATGCGATCCCAGGAGACGTGCCCGTTTCAATTCCTGGCCACTATAAAACGTCCCACTTCCTTTTGATTCTCCGGATTGGTCGGTGTCGTGTGTGAGATGGGAACCGCCCTGTGTCTCCAGCAGTCAGGTGCGTACACATCGTGTACGTTGGTAACTAAGGCCATCCGTATTGAAGTTTTTACCTCCTGTTTACTTGGGTTGGGCGAAGGCCATGATCCAAGCTCATAAAAGGAAGGGGGAAGGAGACCCTGCCTCATTCTTATTCTCCCCTTTTTCCCTCTGATACTTCTCAAGGCTGCGAGTGATGACATTAGCATTAGCATTGGGAACTAGAATAGACACTTGAGAAATAAGAGTTAATCAAAAACAGAGTGTTGAGTCGGAGTGTTTGCACTTAAAGACGCGCTGTTTGTTAAAAAAGAATCTGTATGGTTGCAGGTCGTGGGAAAGGGACAAGAGGTTGTAATGTCGTTAGTTAATTTTCTCATAAAAACCTTACATCAGTTAGGAAGACTACTTTTTAAAAAACTATTTTACAAATGTTGAAATTTATTTTTTTTCCGAATTATCGGAAAATCCGGTCACTTACGACACGGAATTTTCCCTTTTTTCCTTCTTTGACACCTGCAGGAAAAGAAGCTGTAAGTAATTTTGACGGTATGAAATTTTCCCTACCATAGTGCGTTTTGGGGTTTCTAGCCTTCCATGTCTTTTCCAATGAAATCATTTCCTAACATTTTTTAGAATAATTTATTAGCAAATTTGTGGGAGGTCTTTAAGCCGTCGTGTCATAGGATGGTCTACCTCAAATTAACTAGTTATTCTTTCATCTCTTTTTGTTGCTCTTGTTGATTATGAACGTGCAACCAGCCTACTGAACTCTTGAAAAATATGAGCCACTTTCTCTGCCTTCGATTTTGGAACTAGCGAAGTGAAATGGTATATGGGATCAGTTCCAAATCATTCACTTCTACTCACAAAGAATTAAAGACGCAGATCTTGCAAAGCTTGGTTGCTAAAATTCGATTTAGTTACAATAGTCCATTATCTTGTGACTACGGGTTTAACCCACTGTAGCTGATGCATCATCTTCCATGGTATCCACTCGATCCACTTTCAAGCATCAGCCGAAGTGATCGTATTCTTCGCGAGGACATTATTACAAGTACGTTACCAGAGTTGTCACTGAAGAAGGTTTAGAGAGAGCTCTGGCCAGAGACGCACTGGCTCTAAAAATAATGCCGTGAACCTTTTTCTCTCACAAGTCTTGCCCACTAAACGCTTTTTGTGTTGATTTATGGATGAGTGACGAATTGATCTCCTTGATTTTGCAGTATCGGTGGGATTCCTCTATCGGCAGTGCACTGCGGTGTTATGGGAACATAGAGTAGTCCACATCGACGGTAACGACATCACGCCCACCGATTTAGCAGGATGGAATCTGGATGCGCGTCACATCTTTGCCCCAAATCAGGGTATAGTCTACATGTAAGTCATCCATATTTTTGTGTCTCCTACTTTTTCCTCATTTTTATTCTTAATGATTCATCCGCAGGTCCATTAGTGTTAGCCATTGTCAGCTTCCACCCACTAGGTCTTTTAGGCATCTCACGATTCAACCTTCACTGCGGTGACCTGGAGCTTCGCCACTTTTGTCTCAGCCATTATTTGCGTTTGTGCTAAAGCTACCTTTAGGGTTGCAAGTAACACGTCTTCCAGTTTAACTCAGGTGCTACATTGATGACACTGTGAAGAGGTTCTGCCTTAAAGGACATTTATGTCCGAGTAAATGATCGAATCACCATTGAAGAGCTGACTGAGGCAGGTGGTACTTTAAAATAGCTAGCAAGAGAGCGATATCTGAAGACTTGATATTCCCTGCATCGAAAAAGTATGACAAAACTGCACACACAAATGGGTGGTTGATATCCCTCGACCAGACTCTGGAATCCACTTCAAGTCCAAATCTATCCCTAATGTGAGCAACTAAGCTAAACCGGGATGATAGAAATGGCTGCAGAAGTCTTGGGTTTGCTCGGAAACTCCTCCTATTCAGTGCGCAGCTCAACCCTCCTCTTCTTTCCTTTTTGTAGGAGTGACGGAAGGCGAGCATCAGTCCGAGACGAAAACCTCGTAGTGGAGCTGATTCTTGGCAAGCCGAATGTTCGTCGCCTTGCCAACCGCTGCGAAATGTGCCTAGGTCGAGCACGCGGAAATCCCATTTTTCGCGCTGCTGCCCTAGCGACTGACGAGACAGGACGTCTGCTGGTCAGTGATGGTCAATTCCTCCGCTACCTCCAAGAAGAGAGTCACCTCCAGACTCTCGACAGCTTGAAGTACGTCCACTAATACGTCTAAACAGTACCAACTTATATTTACACTTTATTCCACTGTTTCGGATCATTTTATAGCCCCTCTGTCAATGCACCAGCTTCCATAACCGATAGCGGCTCACAGAGCTCATCTCCGTCTGATTGGATCGTATCCGACGTACGATCAATGAGCTTTTTGAATGGCGGCACAGGAGAGGAGGATTGGCCAGCGTACTTTATTGCGCGGCATCCAATTAGCAGTGAGGAATTGGAGGCCCTTTCTAGAGGCGGGATTGGTGGTGGTCGGGCCGGTATCTTCATCTCCGATGCGCGAAATCGAACCATCTGGTGGACAAGTCTGGCTAGACGTGATTTCAGTCAGATGGTCATTAGCGAGCAATGTTCTCCCAACGGCACGATGTCTGATTGTCTTCGAAGGTCACTGATGAATCCGAAGGGTCTTGTTGTCACGTACAATGTAGGTTTTGGAAAGTTGGAAACTTCTCGAAGTAGGTTGTATTAGATTCAATAGAATACGAAGTTTAGTTGTGCTAACATTGGAATTGCGCTAAATTCCGGGACAAAAACGGAGGTCACGGGCTGATTGTTCGTCACTATATGACGGCTTTCCAATTCAGCTATCGCCACCCGCCTAGTAGATTTCCACGGAGTTTACCTAGCATGTTCTGTTTATGAAATACGTTAAAGCAATTCGCTTGGTAGGTATTGCTTAATGATGGATGATATTCTTTCGTTATTCTTTGCAAATTGATGCTCTTCTTCCACATATTAGCCAGATGATTTATTTCAGTAAAATCTCTCTTTAAAGGCACCCATCTACCACATAATCGTAATGCAATTCTTGACTAAAATTCCGTAAATTGTAGGAGGATCTCTTCTTCATTGACGACAAGCAGCTCTGGCGTTACCAATTAAGAAATCCACCAGGTCAAAGGTCAATCCGTGTGGAACTTGTCATTGGTCAGTTGGGCGAGATTGCTGTGCCCATGTCCTGTGAGAGGTCACTACCAGCGAATAAGGTTCAATTAGTAGATCCATCCTTTATGGCTTACAATCCCGTCGAGGACAGCATCTATTACGTCGACGATAAACACGTATGTTCAGGGTTTTTAATATTTTTAAACCATTTAAATAATGTTTGCCCAATGACAAAACTGTTTAGCATATTCACCACCTCGGTCAAGGGAAAATCGACCACTACAGGGGAGATGTGATCAGACCAAAAATACCTAACCTCCCTCTTATTGGTGTAAACTCGATAAATCTGTTTGGAGCTGAAGTAGCCAAATTGAAGTAACCATCAGCTATCGGAAAGTAGTAAAATACACGTGTCACATATTTGTGACTGTAGGTTCGGACAAAAATATCGGGACGTCACTTCCGTGCGATTCATTAAATGGGTATTGACTTTGCTTATGTTACTGGGTGTATGGCTAGCTTTCAATTTCACTATAGACAAGGAATATTTTTAAGGACCTCTAGAACGAAAACTAGAAATTGTGCAATTAGTAATTCTGTTGTAGGTCTTCCGTCTGCACCTGGCAAGTCGGATGGTTTCGCTAGCTGCTGGCCGACTTCCAGGTTGCAAACCTCACACATCTTCAAGCACAATAATGACATCTACCTCATCTCCAACTACCTCCAAAGCACCCTTTGCCGTGGACGTCGAGTTCTCAGAGATCCGTGGGATTGCGTTCTCCTCTCTTGGCGATTTGTATATCGCCGAGTCGGAGGTCATTTGGATCCGTCGCTCTGATGGTCGATTGCATCTCTTCGCCGGAAGCAAGTCCATATCAGCGTGGGATACTCCTCACATTACGAATTCACATCTTTTCCGCCCCGTAAGGAAACCATTACCCTACAGCCAATCCGCCCTTCTGACGGAACATCCTGCTCTTGACTTCCGCTTTGGAAATATCACTTCGATCGCTGTGGGTATCTTTGATGAGGTATTCGTCTCAGATGTTGGACACAATGTGGTTTTCGCTGTGCGTCCTAAACCTCCACGACTGGGAGCGAACGAGAAGTATTCCATACGGCGGATGGCTTCGGAGACACAAGTCTTTGAGAAGCAGGGCCAATTGGAAAGTGTCGTAGACACGCTGACGCAACATCGAGTCTCTTTTTTCACATTCACCGGAAGTGGATGGCTCTCGGCAGTGCGTATGGGAGCATCTGATTTATCTCTCAGGAGAAGTCCTCTTGGTTTTCTGCAGCAAGTAGTCTTGAACACCGGTACGTGACAGTCATGACACTGAAGGTGTAATAATGCATCTAATTGGATTAGATTCAGCATTGAGGCACAAACTAGTTTCATAATGCAGTTCCACAAAGCCTTGTCCTTTATTCTCTCTTTATACAATGTTTCCGTCTTAATGCTAGCCAGCCTCTTGCAGCAATGGAAATATACTTCAAGCAGTTCTACAATGGGTGTTGTCAATCCGTTCAAAATGTGGTTGCCTGAAGTTAGCAGCGACTCGATTGTCCTTTTATTGTATCTGCTGATTCACAAAAATCAGGACTGCCATTCTTTTGGAGTGATTCATTTTCTTACGTCTACACAATGCAGTGTCTGAGTCATTTTTAAAGATATATTAGGGAATACTAGTGGGCAGAGCTTAGTGTGTAGACCGAACAGTTCGGTGTAAGCATACAAGGAAAACAGTTAATTTATTTCGGTTTCTTTTAGGTGAGACCTATAACGTCACCTTTGCACTAATGAACAGGGGCTTCGGATCAATAGTAACTCCCTTTGGAAGTCTTAATCGCTACGAGTATTCGGATGGAGGTCAAATGACAAAGATTTGGACAATTTCTAGTGCTTTGCCCTATGTAGCCTCGTACTCTTCCACGAACGGCCTTCTGGAGACAATAGCTCTGCCATCTGGATGGTTGTATCCACTGCAGAAGACGAAAGGTCGGAAAAGAGGCATAGATATTTTTGAAGATATCAGTGAGTTTTGAATACTAACCGATACACGTGTCCTGCAATGCGTTTCGGCATGTCTGCTTCTCCTGTGTATAGAATCAAGAAAGGTCTCAATGATTTCCTCACCACACACCGAAGTTATCAAGCTGACGTATTCAGGTGGTGCTCAAGAAGTTGTCCTTGAGAGACTCGAACCACCATCTAATTCTCTCGACAGCGTGGAAAACCATGCCTCATGGCAGATTGGAAGACGCATTCGAATGTACGTCCAACTGCAGTCGCCAGAGAATCTACTTTCACCAAATGGAAACTCTCTTTCGACTGTGGACAATACTTCAGCGCAGATGCCTCGAATTATTGAAAATCTGTAAGTATTTTTCCCTCTTTCTGTAAGAACCATCTTATCACCCAAATTTTATGATAATTGGTTTTGTCGTGAAGAATGATGGCAACCTTCGATGTCTTTGGGGTGATTAGTCAGGATGTTGAAACCGGAGGACATTTTGCACGAAAACGCAGGTCCTCGTGGTTTTCCAGCCGTTCCGCCACGTCTCCATTCCTTGGCCGAGGACAAAGGGACATCGCCACTGACAGCACAGTCCAAAAGACTCGAAAAACACTCTCGGTGCGTTCTGCAGCCTTTTGTGTTAACTTAATTATTTTTCATTTTTAAGACTATGACCAAAATATGACTGCGTCTCCGGAATAAAGTGTACCGCAGTCCTCTAGCCCTTCTGTATGATTGTAATAAAGCTACGCTGGCGGTGTGTTGATGACAGTGCGACGCCTACTATTCATTTTGAAGGATATGATCTAGCCAAATAGGAGAAGGGGATCTGTCAGGGTGATTGAATTGGTGGAGATTCAGCGGAAGAGCTGAGAAGACGATTTGGCATCCATTTTCACTTAAATTCTCCGTCGCGGAGTGCAAGATCTGAAGATGTGCCATCTTGATGTGTGACGCATCTGCGTATTACTGAAGGAGAGGGCAGGAATGGATTCCAAATAAATCTCCAGAAAGCGAAGAAGATTGGGGCGTTTGAAAATTCATGTTTACTCAACCTATAACTCTACTCTTCCCCTGAATCAGATTGAACCATTTTCACTGTTGTTAGATCAACGGTCAGCCAGTCTTATCAGTGACACTGGATCGTGAGTCACGAACAGAGACCTTCAGAAGTCCATCCTCAGATCGATTGCTCCTCCAAATCGTCTACAACACCAATATGCAACCCACTGTCTTTGCCACTCAGCCTCTTGGTGCACTTCCCCACTCTGGTTTCGTCGATGTGTCGACAGGGTTCATCGCCAATACTTCTAGAGTGAACATCCAAGAGCCTCTGATAGCCCCTCTTCGTATTATCTACACACGGTAGGATTTTTTTTTCTCAAAGAGCTCGTCTCTTGTGATTCGGAAATGTAATGAAGTGCATATTCATTAGGGGGGATTTTCCATAGAAGTGAACATTATAAGGAGGTTTTTCCACGTTAATCGGTATTTTTAAAAATATTTGTACACTTTTATATTGCATTTAAAATATAACGAAGAAGTTGGAAAAGACATCAAAGGGTGTTCCTACAAAAGGCTGTAGGAAATCGTCCAGCCATTACCTCGAGGATGAATTTTAACAAAACCTAGAAGAGACATTACCACTGATAAATTTTAAAGCCTTTCCAATAAAAAATTTCGCCGGGTTGATTGATGAAGAGGGAGGAAACAGGCAACAACATAGCTACCTTGGTTTAGCAATATGTTCTTTATTCGTGCACACAGTCCTTTTGCAAGCAGACTGGCTGGGATAAAAAAACAAGCCAACAAATGTAGGACGCTCTTGATGTCACACTAGAACAATAAATCATCTGGGCTATGGTAGTGGCATTTTCTCTGAGACCCTGATGGCAAGTGTC